TACAAAGGGATACATGAGAGTATTTTCAATGGTGGGCATATAATTAGTGAAAAAACCATACTTAACAGAAAAGTTATTTTCAGTTTGCCTAATGAATCTTATTAATAAATTAAACGGAACAAGGAGATGTTGGTGTTTTTTTTCTTTTTCTTTTTCTTTTTTTTTTAATATTTTGAACAGCGAAAAAATGAGGAGAGAAGCAGAGTATTGCAAAATAGAATTTAAACGAATTTTTTCTTCAAAAATTAAATATTTAAGATTCAAGTCTTAGATTACAATAAATGACAAAAACAATTGTTTGAATTTTGGCCCAAAAACATAGTTTTTTACCCGAACTAGTGACTGTTTGTGTAGACACCTCCAGTATCTGAAACAGAGAAGAGCTACTGTTATAACTGAAAAACTGCAAATATAAAAGCATAGATTTGTTACAAAAATATGATAATAATCAGTTACCTTCCTAGCAGCAGAGATCTGACTGCTTCCCATTATCCACTATAAAAAATGGAAATTCATCAAAAACAAATTAAAGAGAGGTAATTATTAATTATAATGTTTTGGGTAGTTTTAAAGAAATGGTTTGTCTTAGTGCACAAGATAAAAAGTAATAAGTAATTATTATTACTTTTTGTCTTGAAAAAATGAAGTTGATTTTTGTGTATGGTAAATGCTAATTAGTTTTTTATTGGTTTATTTTGATTTAAAAATAAAAAATTTATCTTTTTAATTCAAAATTTTACCTTTTACAAAAAAAAAAAAGGGACAATAGTCATTACTTAATAATTATTTCTTATCATATGCCCTTAGGAATTAAAGAAAAAGCTTCTAATATACTTGGGCGGGCTGAAGCTATCATCCCAACCAAACAAACAATAAGCAAAACAACTCGGAGGGTAGATTTCTCCATTGCAATCAAAAAATTCAAAACAAAAAACACTTGCTTATGCTGCAAAGGCCTTAGGCCTTGGACCTTTATAGGGAATTTTCTAATAAAAATTTTTCCTATTATAATCTCTAGGTAATTGTTTGATTGAGAGTTTTTCCGATGTAAACGGCAAAGATCTATACTTTAATTCTTAGCCGTCAAGGTCACTCTCATATATTTGTTTCCTGCAGATCAGATTTGGAATCTGGAGGGTTTGTTGGCCATCCTCATCAATCTCAAGAATATGTATCCCATCTGCAGGTATAATACCATGGTTTAGTTCGTCACTAGGGATTCAAAGTAACATGTAACGAACTTATGGTTATTTTATAAAAAATAAAAGTTAAAAACCAATTTTAACCTCTGAGTTTTATACAATTTTCATTTCTTAAAATTTTTATATATTTTTTTTGTCCATTAACTATAAAAAATGTATTTTTTAATACTTCCATCAGTTGGTCCCTCATCGAAACATAAAAGGGCTGAATTTCATGTAGTTTAGGGGCTGATTTGCATTGATTTGAAATACAGGAACTGACATGCCACCAATTTGTAAGTAAAAGGGCTAAATTGCACCTTCTACCAAGGAGAAACGGACAAACTTTTGGATACTAACTGTTTTATCTAATTAGTAATAATCGTCCACATAGTTTCAAAAAGTAATAATCGTCCACATAGATGCAAAATTACTGACAGCAACCATGACAAGTAACACAATTGGGCAACAAACGCTCAATTCAAGTTAGAAAATCTTTAATTCTCCTTGTGCCTGACTTTGCAAGAGAGAATTAGCCTCACGGAGTATAAACTAATGTTGATACCATAGTTCAAAACACTAGTCAAATTTATCAAGTTTACCTACAACAAAACGAAAAAACTTCAGCAATATACCATTAATTTATGTTTTGGTTTGGGTGTAGGGGGGCGGAGTGGGAAGATGGTTTTTTTAACTAATCATATTGCAATATTTAAAAACGTTAGAATTTAATTGGTTCAAACATTCATCGCTCCCCTCTATTTCCCTCAAACCAAATGTACCATTAAGAGGAAGCATAAAGAATGAAATTTAAAGAAGCCTCCATATCTTTGCAAATCCATTTGATACAGAAAGCAACATTCCCAGTTGACTTCAACAATGATGTCCAATACACAATCACCACAAACACATTTTGAGAAATGCTTTTGATAAATACATTTCTAATAACCACCTATTGAAATAAATCTAAAGTCACTTTTATATTCAACGTTTAAAGAAATTAACTACCATCAAAACGTACCTAGACTATCCTCTATTCAGTTTCTTCGAAATAAATTGAAACACAAAATTCATGAAATCAAAATATGAAATGTGAGAGCCATTACAAGAACAGGGAATACATTTATGGGGCTTCACCAATAACTTTCTAAGCAATGCATCTGATGCAGTAAGACTCTTTACCACATAATTTTAATTTTCAAGAGCTGATTTTGATCCTACGACCAAACAGGAGCTCAAGCATATTTTCATGCCATCTAGGTGGTTATTCTTTTAACTATTGTTATCTCAGTTATGGATTGTTTCTCAAACCATAATAGAAAAAAGTGGCATTTGAAATTATGACACTGATGAGATGAGGTTCAGATATGAAAAGGTACAAAAAGAGAGACTTAGAGGACATAATTAGAAAAGTTGAAAAACTTCACCATAGTCTGTCAAATAAAAAACAATTTTTAAAGCCAAAACCTGTTTTCCAGCAATAAGTTCTGCCTAAGATGCATATAAACCAAGAAATTATGCAGGTCCACTAAAACCCCATTCTTTTTCTATTTTCTTTAACTATTGTTGTTTGTATTTTCTTGTCTACATAGTACATACACTTGACTGTTTTGTCTACATGGTACGTACACTAAAACCCCATTCCACCAAGCTAAATAACTTGGTAGAATGAAGAAATAAATAGATACAAAAAAAAGAGAAGATCATTAAAATCAAAATGTGGAACTGAGCTATCAGGTGTAAATGCAGTCCAAAGAGAGACATTTCATAACTATTCATCACCTTAGACTCAAATCTAATTTCCATTTCATAATTAACAGTAGTGAAATAATTTTGATTATCTTATCTAAAGTTGATATATAGTTGTATTTTTCACAAGAGCCAAGCTATCATCAAAACTTGCAATTTTATCTAACAAATTTCCTCTCCTAAAATGTGATCAATTGATACTAAGTAGACTTTTTCAGTAGATAAGGATAGATCCTTCCTCCTACAAATCCACAATAGGACCAAAAATCAAATAAGTAAAGATAAATAAAGGGATGAAATGCAAATAAAATAGAAGGAATTGTAAAATGACAAGCTAAACACATTCACACTCTTATGTTAGTAGTAGCCTAAGCCTCCATATCTTTAAAGAATACAAGAATTGTTGAAGAAAGACGTAACATTCATGATTCAAGATTATTGAATTTTTGCAGTTTGGTGGCATGTTGAAGCAAATTGTTTGCACTAACACAATAGAAGAAACCCTTAAACGTATAAAACCCCACCTCTCCCCCAAAAAAAGCTTTATTAAAACTTAAAACATAGAAGTTACCAATTTCAAGCTCAGAAAGCCTTTATGTAAGAAGCATTTCTATTGTTAATGTTTTCATAAATTTAGCCTGATACTTAAGTAAATGTAACAAACTAATCAACAACCCAAAGCATAAGGAAAAGTCACACTCTTTTATAAACTTCAATCCACTAAATTCATGGGGATTCTCAAGAATTTGAAATCCATAGCAATATCTAAGTGATTCCAAGTTATTCTTCCTTCAAACTAGCATTCAAAAACTAAAAGCTAAACCCAATCAAAGCTCACAATAAACAAGGAAAAACATACCCTCTTTGTTAACATTTCAGATATGTTCATCCATCATCTAGGAACACTATCAATAAGCCTCGCACCAACTCTGTCCAGCCTCTTCACCATAGCCACAGACTTCAAATTTCCTTCCTTCATAAAGGCCTTCACCATTGCATCCCCAATCACCTTTCCCCTCTCCTCATCATCTGTTACAGCCACCGCAGTAGGACCAGCTCCACTAATCGTGCAGCCAAAGGCCCCAGCTGCAATTGCTGCCTTCTTTACCCCCTCCATCCCCGGAATCAATGGCGCTCGCTTAGGCTCCACAATCTTGTCCGAAGACAGAGCCTTTCCCAATCCCTCAACATCACCCTCCAACACAGACGCAACCAAAGCACCCGCTTGGCTGCAGTTCCAGACATGGTGTAGCATCCCAATCTCAGTAGGTAGCGCCGCGCGCATCTTTTTGGTGGGGGCCTCGAATTCGGGACTAACCAACACAAAAAACAGTTGTTTATTTTCCGGAAAAATCAACGGCTTCAATTCCAGAGGCTGATAGCTTTTGATCAACACAAAACCTCCCATAATCGCCGGCCCAATATTATCAGCATGATAACCGGAGACTTTAGCCTCCGATTCCAACCCTGCAAGAACAAGCTGATCCGCTCCTAATATCCCACCGAACAGTTCATTAACAGCAACGGCAGCCGCCGCAGCAGAAGCAGCACTAGAGCCCAGACCACTGCCTAAAGGCAAACCCTTTTCAAGCTTGAGGGAGAGACCCACGGAGCGGATGTTTAACATTTTCATTGTGGCAATAGCGGCGATGCCAGCACAATTGAAGAAGGGGTTAGGGGAGAGCTTGGACGAACCGGAGATCTCCGAAATGGAAACATGACCAGGCCGAACCGAGGAGTCAACCCGGAGAGATACGAAGTCACCAAGGCCGTCTACAGCTGCCCCAAGAAAATCGAAACCCGGGCCAAGGTTAGCGACGGTGGCCGGAGCAAATGACTTGACGGAAGTGAAGACCAGATCTGGCTCGGTTGTGACTATGGTGGGGAGAGACGCTCGGCATCTAAAGATGGGTTGTCTCTTGGTTGTGGAGGGGAAGATGGAGATGTGTGAGAGTGAGGTTTGAAGATTGCAGCTGACGGCCATAGAAGACAAGCAGATCTGTTAAACTGAAATGAAAAGGGTTTAATTTAGGGTTTTAGGATGCAGAAAGGAA